AGAAAGCTGTTTATCGCTATTTACTAGCAACAAAAAAGATTTCTTGCGAAAAAAAAAATTGGGGGAAAAAAAATGGAAAAGCGTTGGAACGATTGCATCACCCTAAAAGGTTATTAACAATAGGTGTTATGTTGATGAATAAAAAAAAAATTTGCAAAAAAAATGTTGTTTTCAATGTTAGACTCGGGAGTTATTGATCGATGTGTTATATCCATGTTAAAATCAGACGATAAAACCATGTTTTTTTTTTTCTTTTTTTCAAATTATATGTTTTTAATATGTATTCCTTATTTTACTCTCTGTGTAGAAAACTTGCCTAAACACGTCCGAACCATCGTTTAAAATATCTAGTTAATCTATTTCCTACTTACTTAGTTCGAGTGAATAGAATAGTTGGAGTTGAGGCTTCTAGTCCTTAACTGTTCTTCTCTTCTTCCTATTCACAGATGCTTCACTTGTGAACATCAGCTCGGAATCCACCAAACTTAGAGTTGAATTATTCGCTCCTTACATATGCGTCCTTACATTACGTCTTATCAAACGTATATTCATTACACCTTGCTAAATCAGTCTACACAAGTCATGTTTCATTCGTAGGAAGGAATTTTGAATTCAAATGCTATCAGCAACAGTTTCTGGAAAGGAAAAATCCTGATAGACATCGTAACATCTTTTGCAACGTAACATCTTTTCGGATTTATCAAACACATTATTTACAGGGAATAGAAATTAAATCTTTCCAAGACTTAAATTAAATCCTTATGGAATTTATCATTCCATGTAAATTTGGAATCCACACAAAGCCATCTAAATAATATAAAAACTCTACAACTACCACACATCTCACTTCTTATGTGGATCTTATTTTGGAGTCCTTCTTGGTGACCAAAATTTTGGTTGGCGATTAATCGCCGAATTGGTGACTTTTTTCTGGTAATCCTACTTTCAATACAATAACTGGCTTTAGTTAGGCTAATGGTATATATATATATATATATATATATATATATATATATATATGTGCGGTTGGTAATCAAGTGTTCATTACAAAATCATACAGCCTAGGAGGAATATCCCAGTTTCCTCGTTACCTAGCAGTACCGAGATTTTCAATGGTGTTGTCGAAAGAAGGAAAAATCAACATAAAAAGAATACAAGGAAAATTATTCCTGGTCTGAAAACAATGAACTCGAAAGGTTTTTGGTAATCGTGGTCGGCAGCTAAAATCCCATAGCCTAGGCGGAATATTAGTTTCATCTCTATTTAGTTGAAAGAGCTTCACAATCGTCCTCGTTAAAAATCAGTGATTTTTTTCCCATTCTTTCTAACTGGTTTTAAATATATATTATTTAATTCATTCTTACACTTCTGTTTTAAGACGTCAATGCTTCGGAAATAGTCGTTTCAGTTTTCTGTTGAAATGACCTTGAATTAAAAAAAAAATGTCCTTTTAGAAGAATTTTGGCGCGATTTTAAAACTCGCCTTTAGCAGTTTATAATTAGAGGTAAAACAGCACACAAATACTTATGCAAGTGACTGTTCGATTCAATTGATTTGAAAGGAAAAAAAGAGCTTTAATTAAAAAAATGTTTCGAAATTATTGCAAGCAATACATGTTACCTCACCAATAATCAGTCGATATTGCAAGCAGTGGTTCGGTTAAGTTACATGAAGGCTATTCATTAAACAGAATAAAACATTGAAAGCATTTATATGCTTGCAGAAAATAGAAGTATGATTTTCTTTAGAAAATAAAAAAGGGGGTGCAATTGAAATATAATTTTCTTAAGGGGAAAAACGATAAGGTTCCACTACAATTTGATGTCGAATCATTGGATTCGGAATCAAGCGTACCAAACATTAACCAAGGAACCACCTGCTTTCGCTTTCTCAGTTTATTTTGACTTGCATGATTATGTGACAAAATCGAAAACATGTAGAGACTTAATTTGACTCTCAATATCGTCATTAATTGCTATTTATGTCGATAAGTCTTTCAAAGCAATCATTCAAATACAAATGCTCGATTTAATGCTTTTCAAGGAGAAGGATACAGAACAATCAAATTTTTTTTGTTTGTTTATTGACTATTTCTGAAACAGATCGAATATCATGACAAAATTCTAGCAAATGTTTCGAATATTTACGAACATTTAAACTTATCTCAAGACATTCCTTTTGTAAGAGTTAGAGATTGATGGAAAGAAAGAAAAAATAGTCACCAGGTTCCACCGAGATTTGAACTCGGATCACTGGATTCAAAGTCCAGCGTGCTAACCATTACACCATGGAACCACCTGCTTCATTTACACTATCATATCTTGAGTTTCAACAACAAATAAGAAAATATCGCTGAATAAGAAACTCCCAAGAATTTTTTCACAAAATGCAACTCACGCAATCTTCCTGAATACAAATTTACATGTTCAAATTCAAATGCTCACCATATTGTTTATTCAAGGGTAAGGAGAAAGAGCTAAAGAAAAAAAATACTATGTACTTCTTGAAATTCTCTTCAAAAGATCAAATGTCGCGTGAAAAGTCAAGAAAAAGTTATAAAACTTATAAACATTTTAAATTTGTTTCAAAATGTTCCTTTTTTTCAGGTTTCGTGACTTGTGTAACTTTTATCTGTTTGTTTTTCAACTCCATGTGTTTGTGAAAATATAATTTGTGTTAAGTGCAAAAATAAGTGCTTATTCAAGTCTAAGTCTAAGTGTAGAAAAACATACATAATCCTTTTTATAACCAGTTTAAAGTTGTTTAATCCATTTCAGACCTTTTACATAATGGCAAAAGACATCGAATAACCATCTCTTGCTTAGATTCTAAGCAAATAAATGTTTTAATTTTTAATAAATATCTTGGGCCCGCGACAGACCAGTGGTCATGGCCACAGTTTGGGCATCGATTCCACTAAAGACATACCGTATAACAGGGTCTGATGCACGTTATATCTGGCGAGACTCAAAGTCTCTCCGATAGACTGGTGTAAAAGTTAGGAGTGAGAGGTGCTAGCTCAGGTGTTGTCCTCGTTACTAGCCCGCGGTGCAATATTATGAGGTCCCTCGCCAGTATCAATCGTGTTGCTTCTAGTATGACGTTGATAAATCCAACCAATCAAACCAATAAATATTAAAAAATCCACTAAATTTAATAATGTGTTTAATGAAATGTTTTCCATAAATATGCATATCTACAGTAAATATAAAATTAAATATATTCAAATAAGTACAGAAATTCTTAAAGGTGAAGTTGACAGAAAATAATAACTAGGTTTCATCGAGATTTGAGCTCGGATCCCTGGATTCAAAGTCCAGCGTACCAACCATTACACCATAAATCCACATGTTTTAATATTCCTCTTCTGTCTTTGATTTCCTATTTTTATTACACGCTTGCTTGAATTAGGGTAGTCGTGCAAATTGTTTGCATGCGCTTGCATCGAGCAAAGATTGAATGACATTCGTAAGACTTTTTGAAATGCTTGCTTTCTGAATGACCCCCCCCCCAATCCCTATCACTTTAATATAGTTTTTGAATTACCCATCAAAGTAACTTAGGAAAAATTACAATGGTTTTCTACACCGAAATATATTTTCTATTAGCAGAGGCAATAGACATGAAGAAGTATATAGAAAGCAATTATCACTTGTTCTCACAAAAACTATTTATTGTCGGACGGTGTTGTTCCGTCCTACTCGTTGTTACAGCGTTCTCTCTCTCTCTCTCTCTCCTTCTCTCTGATACAAATAAAAAACATGAAACCCTTACGACTCATAAAAGCGCCATCTAGTGGCGTGTACATACTCCCTACTTTGAAACCACAAGGTTTCATGTAAATTTACAAAATATACAAGTTGAATTTAACTCAAAAATTACATCAGTTACATTAAATTTTACAATATAATATAATCACTTAAGCATTGAGGAAATATAAGATATAATACTACACAATTGTAATAGTTAATACAAAAAAATGTATATCATATTATCTGAAATTGGTAAAATGCACACATTACAAATACTTCTTTTATAAGTGTCCTTAGGCGTTCTGACCTGCACTACTCTAATTTTGTCATCCTTTCCATAAATAACACTGTCAATTCTTCCAATTGACCAAGCATGCAAATGTGGTTTGTCTTCCTTTAACAACACAACCATACCTGGTTTAATATTAGTTTTACTAGCATGCCACTTAGATCTTTGCTGTAGGGAATTCAAATAATCTCTGGACCAGTTTTTCCACTCAATTTAGGCAAATTTTGTTAAATGTTGCCATTTGGAAAAATTATTATTTTTAATAGATGATATGTCAATCTCAGGTAAAGCATTAAGTGGCCTGCCGATCAAAAAAATTTCCAGGCATTAGAACGTTAAAATTGTTTGGATCAGTTGATAAAGAAGTGAGAGGACGACTATTTAAAATTGCTTCAATTTGATTAGTTACAGTCAAAAACTCTTCAAATGGGAGTTTAAGGTCACCCACAACTCTTTTAAAGTAGTGCTTAAATGACTTTATCCCTGACTCTCAAAGTCCTCAAAAATTAGGAGATTGAGGAGGAATAAAGCTCCATGTTACACTCTCAGAATACAAGTAGTTAAGAACATTCATATTTTTGAACAAAGCAAATAATTCATTAATTACCCAAGTTGAACCTCGAAAATTTGTAGCGTTGTCAGAAAAAAGGTACGCTGACAAACCTCGGCACACAAAAAATCTTTTTAAACATGCAATCATAGTCTCTGCCGACAATTCTGTAATTAACTCAAAATTTACTGCCTTGGTAACAAAGCAAATAAACATGCATACATAAATCTTATTCTCTATACCTTTTATCTGATTTTTATATTTTATTAAGAATGGGCCACAACAATCTAGGCCAGTTTTAAAAAAGGGAGGATTGATGGTTATTCTCTCTTCAGGTAAAGGTGCTATAACTTGATTAATCTCCCTAGGCTTAGCTTAAAGCATGTTACACAGTTATGCGCAGTTTTACGAGCAATATCGGGCCCACCCAAAGGCCAGTATTCTTAACGAATGGCACATAACAATGTTTGGGGCCCAACACGGTAATTTTTTAAATGAATGTAACAAAAAATCCTTTTATTAAATTTACGGTTTTTAGGAAGCAAAATAGGGTGTTTCCTATCAATTGGTAAACTAGTGTTATGCAACCGACCACCAACTCGTATAATACCTTCATCAATAAAAGGGGATAAACAACTTACATTGAATCCCTTAATTCTTTTATTTTCTGTCAAAGCTTTTTTCTCCCTAGAAAAGGCCTGCATTTGTACATATTTTATAAGAAACAGTTTACCTCTTTTTAACTCTGCTGTTGTTAAGGGTCTTTCTTCTATGGTGCAACCCTTTACATTTGAGATGTATCTGAAAACAAAGCTTACAATTCTAATTAATTTCGAGTAAGAATTAGTAATATCAAAAATGTAATTAAAACTAGAAATTTCGCTAAAAAACCTATGTTCAATGTTCTGAAATTTACAATTCTCTTTTACTTCTTGATGAAATTGTTCAGTTTCACTTGAGGTGAAATGTTCACGTTCAATTTTGGAACATTCAATATTTGATAAAAAATCAGGCCCCTGCCACCACAATTTTAGATGTTGAATTTTTTCAGGATTAACAACTCGTGATATTAAGTCAGCTGGATTATCATTTGTATTCACATAATCCCATTTGAAGTCTTTTGTTCTTTCTTGTATTCTTTTTACTCGATTTGCCACGGAAACGTCAGAGTTAGAAGTGGCGAAGCAATCCATGCAAGAACTATTGTTGAGTCCGAGTACAGATATACTGAACTTGCACGTCCAAAGCTGTTCGAACCTTGACTAAAAGGCTCGAAAGTAATTCTGCCTGCACACAATTCCAGTTTTGGGATGGTCATCTCCTTTATGGGTGCCAATTGCGATCTACTGCAAAGGAGGGACACTTTGATCTCACCTGTCAGGGATACTGAACGAATATGAATAACACAGCCATACGCATCCTTAGAAGTGTCTCCGAAGCCTGTCAAGTCAATTTGCTGTGAATTAGGACATAAGACAACGTTCTATATTCAAGTGTCTCAGAATAAGTAACTCTTCACGAAATTTATCCAACTTTTTTCTTACGTATAAAGGAATTTCTTCCTTCCACTTTAGCTTAAGAAGCCACAAGTTTTGCATGTAAATCTTTGCTGTAACTATGACCGGACCCAAAAGACCTAAAGGGTCAAACAATTTTGCAATATCAGATAGCAACGTTTTTTTTGTCACGGGACTCACAAATGTTTGAATATTAAAACAAAAGGTGTCTTCCTTAGGTTTAAACCCCAGACCAAGTGTTTTAACAGTTTCAGTATTCAGGCTATCAAAGTTATATTTCTCCACAGTTGCTGAAACATTTTCCAACAATAATGGGTTATTCGAACTCCACTTGTGGAGTTCCATTCCACTTGACTTTAATAAACGGATTAATTGGCTTTGAAGCTCAATGGCAGCAGATAAGTGTTCAGCACCACTTAAAATGTCGTCTACATAAGTCTCTGCCTGCTGCTGCTCCTAACGGATAATTCTTTCTTTAAACGTTGCATAGATGTTGCAACACTCTTGTCTCAAAATATAGTGCACACTTGGTCTCATAGGTAACAGTGTGTAATTTAAAAACGTGTATTTTTTTTCATAATTATGATTTTTTCATAAAATACACTGCAAATCACACCGATCGGGACTAATCTTAATTTTTCGGTTCATCTTTTTAATGTTTCCGAAACCGCAATAAAATAGAAAATAAGTCATCTTGGACAACATATCCTGCATACAAATTATCATTAAGCGATTGTCCAGACGATGTTGCTTCTGAAGCATTAAAAACAAGGCGTAATTTTGTAGTACTATTCTCCGGTTTATAAACGCCATGATGAGGCATAATGTATTTTGGAATTTCGTTAGTTGCATGCATATGGCCTAGAATCTCATACTAAGTTAAGAATTCCCTATACTCAATTTCAAATACTCAGTTTCTCTTCTCAAGCGTTGCCATAGAGAATTCAGTCTTTTAACTGCGATGCCCTTCGACTCACCTAAACACGGGGGTTCTTCTTTTAAAAGCATTTTAACGACATAGCGTCCATCGTCATTCCTGAAATGCGTTTCATGAAATGATTTTCACAAATTAGGCTCTCATTATTTTCTACCTTTTCTACCTCGACATTTTCAATTTCCCCAAAACTCCTCAAAGTTACATCTAAATTTTCCGTAATTAACCCACAATGAGCAGAAGTTTCGTTTCCTATTGGAATACTCCCAGTAGCAATGAACCCAAACAGTGTATTTTGCAAAATTATATTTGTACCAGGGGGCCTTATCTGACCAAATTTTAAGAGTTTGTAAAATATTTGTGCACCCAACGAAATATCCACAACACCTGGTTTATTGAAAGTGACGTCTGCTAATTTTAAATTATCTAACTCAAACGTATTAATATCAAATTGTTTAGCAGGTATGTAATCTGTAATATCAAAAGCCCTACTCCTTTATCGAAAGTTCCACTTAGATTAGCAATTCTCGTTTTTACAACAGAGTTAATAACGCATGAGCACTTATTCAAACCTGAAACTACTAGACTTATTTTTTCTTTTTTTAAATTAAATTTATCAGCGCAGTGCTTTGAAATAAAACATGACTGACTTCCGCAATTTAGCAAGGCATGCACTTCATGAAACATCCCGAAGTTATCCGCGATCATTAATTTTTCTATACTCAGCAAAACCATTTGAGATTTACAAGTAGTAACACTTGAAGTAAAGGCGAGCAATTCTCTGACAACGAACGATCGCCTGACCTCGGACTCATAGTAACAAATTCGTCAGACATTGGATTTAACTCCACTTTAGCCACCATCGCGGCCCCAGTAAGTGCGATTACGTTCTGGTTTCTTTCCTCATGCATTAGACCAGTGCTCCGCAACCGGTGTGCCGTGGCACACTGGTGTGTCATGAGCCAGATACAGGTGTGCCGCGGTCAAATACATTGTATTTGACATTTTACAATTTTTCATCAAATATTTAATAGACAATGACAATTTTTTTTTCATAATAATGTCTATTTTTCTAAATATACTATAGAATAATTATTATCACTAAATAATTATTCAATGGTCCCCTGGTGAGAACAGTTGAAAACTGCACAGTGCGTTGTGTAAACACCAAGGCCCACCAAATTAATCATAGATAAAGCAAAATGACCGTTATGTGCGTCGTTGAAGACTCATGCGCATGTGTTATTTGCATTTGCGCGTGGTACATCACGTTCACTCTTATGTCATTGATGTCACTATTTTAC